TGTTCCAAAATCCTCATGTGAGGATACTATAAAGAAAGGTTTTGAAAATTTATTTGTACAGATACATAAATGTTACTTAAAAAAGAGACAACATCGAAATATAAATATTTCGAATTTAGAATTTTTAAAAGTTCTTAAAGTTCTTAAACTTCAGTTACTAAAGATCAGATAGATTGGAATGTCCCTGCAACAATTTTTAAAGAAGTCTTTCTTTAAGGATTTCGCAAAACTATCAGAATAGAAAACTGTCGGGCTTTTCATAAAATTCCTACAATAATATATATCTTTTTCTTATTTGGCCTCCCTTACGATCTGCCTCCATCTGTCCCGATCTTGCATCAGCATACACTTTATATATATATAATAATAATGTATGTAAATATATATGTGTTATATTTATAGTTTCTTTTCTGAAGACTATGTTGACTTCAATATCTGAGACACTTTGACTTGATATAGTTGATTTTAAGAATATAAATCCTCTTTATTAGATTTTTTTCTTTTCTTAGACTAAAGAACGACTATCAATACTATTTTAATTTCTTAAGTTGTGCATCTTTGGCACTATGATTTGAGATCCCAAATCTTGAAAGTAGAAGCCTCTTTCATATATCTTTTTTCATTTTTTAGGCTATCCTTATAACTTCTTAAGTTGAATTTCTTTGTAATTTTGACTTAAAAATTAATTAATTTTGAAAATGGAAGGCCCTTTTCCTTAAACTATCATTACTCCATTAATCACCATCATTACCCTTATATTAACTTTTTTAATTTTATTTTTTTTTTTGTACATTTTAACATTAAATATTATTTATTTTATGTATAAAATTCGAAATTTATATCTACGCCTACATAAAATATATTTTGAGTCAAAACTTCACCGACGGAACGGCGCTTATGCATTTCTTATGTACTGACACTTAAGTGTAACTGAAGTGGCACAAGACGACAGTCAAAATTAAAATTATTATAAAAATTTCAAATAATTCAAGATATTTGTAATATTTTTAAAAAATTAACTACAAAATATGAAACACCCACAATGAAGCGCCAAGTGTCATTCATAAAAATGTACAAAAGCATATAAAGTTCAAAATAATTTGAAACAAAGTACAAAGCTAAAAGCTTAAAAATACATTAAATGCAAAAAAAAAAATAATTAAAACAAAATAATTATTACTTATAAGTAGCAACTTAAATAAAGAGTTGAAAATATTTGCAAATAAATTGTTGAGATACTCACAACAAAATTGCATTCAAATGTATTTCAAGGCAAAATGAATGTAAATAAATGGCTTCAAGGATATCTTTTTTACTTACGAAAAAAGTATTAACAATAGAAATAACTTGATTCAAGGATATCTTCAAGGATAACCTCTTTAGAAAGTATCTATAATTATAAGATGCAATTTACATTAATGATGAGGCTATAGCCACCAAACTTACTGTTGGTTAGAAATTAAACTTTTTCTAAATATGCGTATAGTAGTCTTCATCGCTCTGCTTAAACAATAAAATTGATCTTTTTTGTCCATATAGTTGTCTTTATCACTATCCTTGTATAAAGAAGTTGATATTTTCCTAATTGTCTTTATAGTTGTTCTTGAAACTATCATTGTTCGTTGAATTTGATCCTCGTGTAGCTACTCTAAAAATTTTCTTGAAACTATTCGTCTACAAAGAAACTGATATTCTCCTAACTATCTTTAGAGTTGTCTGTATGACTATCCTGCTATAAAGAAATTGATTTTTTTCTTAAAATCTTTATAGTAATACTTAAAACTAGCTTTGTACAATGAAGTTGTGGTATTTCCAAATGTTTTTAGAGTTGTCTTTAAAGTTACCCTAGTATACTGAAGTTGACCTTGTTTTAACTGTTCTTAAAATTGTCTTATAACTATTCGCCTACAAAAACACTGAATTTGATATTTTCCTAACTATTTTTCAAGTGTTCATATAACTATCCAGTCACAAAGTGGTTTATTTTTCTCTCACAATCCCTATAGTAGTTTTTAAAACCGGCTTTGTTCAGTGAAGTTGTAACCGTCTTCAGAGTTCTTTTTAAAATTATTCTAGTATACTGATCTTGATGTTTTCTTAAGCACTCGTAAAGCTGTATTAATATAATTCGCCTATAAAGTACTGAAACTGATCTCTTCCTAACTAGTTATCTTTGAAGCTATCTTAGTCATAATTAAGTTCATCGTTTTCTAACTGTTCTCAAAGTAGTCTTATAAGAATTCTCCAACAAACGAACTGATCTTTTGTTCCTATAACTTGTCCAAAAAAAATGGATCTTTCTCTAATTCTCCTTAAAATTGTTGATCATTGTTAGGATTTAAGACTGCTTGAGCAGCAAGACCCGAAGCGATAGTGGCATTAGCGGCTGCAATTGAGGAAAAAAGTCATTAATCAAGGCAATGCCAAATGGATTTCAAGTGTATGAGTATTGTTGTGGCCAAAAAATATTCCCACTCTTACTTACAACAAACAAATACAATACAATATAAGTACAAAAATATTTTGGCATCTGAAAGACAGCCAGACAGATACACTCGTACCAATAAGTCAACTTGACAATTTTTGGCATAATTTGACAAAAAAAAATTTCAAAAACAAAAAAAGAAAAATAAAGAAGAAATTGTTGGTAAAATACCCACGACAATGAGCGGAGCGGATATGAGGCATATGAGTAACATTGGCACTTTGACATTTTTATTAGATTTGCAATTGCTAAGCGTTTTTAGTTTTAAATAAATTTTTGTTTATTAATTTAAAGCGTTCAATTGTCGATTGACGATTGTCGATTGATGATTGTCGATTGCCAATTGCCAACTAATCTCCCCGAACTCAAGTTATCTGACTTTATCGCTTGGACGTGTTAACTGAGCGCACCGCTCCGCTCCACCAAAACGACTACAGAGTTTTGCTTCATTCACTCAATGAAGTGAAATAAAAGTTATTGTTTGCGTATGTTTATGACCATCACATAAAAGTATATAAATATAAATATTTTTATACACACAATACACCTTTCACCTTTGATATAATAATTTTTTTAGTGACTATCATAAACTCGCACATTGAGATCTTGATGACGTGTTGTAAATCATGTTTATGAAGTTATTAGGCAAGCGACTTCTGACTGAACAAGAAATAATTTTCAACATAAATTTTAATTTTTCTTATATATCATTCTGTATAGTTAAATATCATTATAACAATAATAGATTTATATTTTGAATTTTTCATTGGTCTATCTTTATTTTTTTTTTTTTGTGTTTTGAAGTCATAAAATTTTTTATTAAGCAATTACACTTTTATTCACTGATAAGCAGCAGCACAAGTGTATCTTCACGGTGATGTAGTAATTGATAAAATATATTGGAGCTACTGTAAAAAATGACAACTAAATAAAAATATAGAATAGTACTGGTACTTAAAAGCAGAGTATAAATGGAATTTTTAATTACAGTAAAGCACCTACTAACCTCGTAGCTTAGTAGGTTTATTGTGCTTTAACTAACGCTAATCAAACACATGATATGCAGCTTCTTGAATGAAGGTCAGAATGTCAATCCTTACTGATTTCCCAGCATTCTCCTACTAAATTAGGTGAAAACTGGAAAGTCACAGACTAGAATGTCACTTCTTGCGGAGCTCTTAACATTGACGGAAATATGAGCTTTATAACCAGCGTTCTCTTTCTAAATAAGGTTAAAGCTGTAGAGTTACAGATTATAATTTAGTCTAGAAATCTTTTAGTCTCCCAGAAAGAGACAATATAACATCACTATTAGTCCAGACTAATCCATCTTACTGAAACTGGTAGCAGAGATTAAAATATTATCTAGAAAATTGTTAAAATATTAATAAATTTCATAAAATCAGAAAAACAATAGCGGACTTTAGAACTTAATAAAATATTTCGAAAAAATTCTTTAAATTAAATATGCGATCACAAAAATATATTCGATTTATTATGATTTGACGAATATTCAAATCTTAATAGTTGTCAAAAAAAAGAAACTGTGTGAATAAGTATTTAAGATCTCGTTTAAAAACAATAATTTAACGTTTTTATATATTAAAAAATTACTAAAATATCAACTAGTGAAATTAAAATTAAAATTGAAAGCAAACTTATAATTATAATTTAAATAATATAATTAAATGTTAAAAAAATATATATAAACTAAATAATATGAAAAAAATTCACAATTTATAATTTTAATTTAAAACAATTATTATATAATTTGAAAATTTATTCGTTATATATAATTTTAATTATAATAATTAAATAGTAATAAAGAATTAAAAGCTTATTAATTACTATTGTAAAAAAATATTAAATAACGTATAGTAATAGACTCAAATTATATTGCTAAAAGACTAAAAAAATATAGAACAAAAAAAGAAATTATTTTAAATTAACTTTTTATTTTAAATATTTCAACTCTAAATATTTATAAAAATAATTATTATTAAATTATTATTGTTATTAGTTACAATAATTATTATTTTAAGTTTCAATGTTTTTTATTTACTATTAAGTATTTATAATACCAAGAAATTTAAAAAAAAGTTATTTTAAACTCTTAATATTTATAAAAATTATTATAGTTTTATTTGTTACAATATATATTATTTTGAATTTCAAAATATTGTATAGGTTATATATGTATAAAAAATCAAAAATCATGTCTTTATTTTATTTCATTTCAAATTTTTTTTTAATTTAATTTTATTTTATTATGTATCATTTTATTTTATTATAACATTTTATTTTGTTTCACTTTGATTTAGTTTGTTTTATTATATTTTTTTAGTTTTATACAAACCAATAAGAATATTTAAGTAATATATATTAAAATAAAATGAAGAAATATCTTTATTTTATTAATAAACTATATTATTATTAAATATATTATTATTTTTTTTGATATTAATTAATAACAAATACTAATTGATTTTCTCTTTCTGTTTTTTTACAGTCACAAACTTCAAAATGAAAAACACTACAAAAATGTTCACAAAGAAACGTTAAAACCATTTTAGCCATACTTTCCAAACTTTATCTTAATAACAGCAACAAAATCCTTAACATTCACTAAAGGATTCATATAGAAGTGTAAAACTTAAAGAGCAACAAACATATTGCAAAAGCTCACAATAAAACAAAAAACAATAAACATTTAAAAAAATCCACAAAAAAATATATAAAAATTTTTTTTCGCGCAAACGGTTTTAAATAAAAACATTCAAAATTATTCTCGAAATGGATATGACTTCAACAGCGGAAGCTGCCGCTCGCAGTTGGTACGATAATCCGCGTTTAGGTGGCTCCCCACAAACAAACGGTCTGGGTTCCGCTGGCAGTGGCCTTGTCGGTCATCACAGTCTAACCGGCGGAGCGTCATTAGGCGGCAGTGCGGCTGGCCTGGGCAGTGGCAGCGGTGGCGGCGGTGGTGGCGGTCTTGGTCTAGACTCCACTGATATGAGCGCCTTCTACGCACTTGAAAGCAATGGACATCACAGAAGATACTATTCCAGCTATCATCAGCACAGTAAGTCAACTAACAATATTGCTTATATCGTATTAAAATTTCAATTTATTACATTTCTTTCAAAACAACTAAAAACTAACAACCCTGACTTTCTTAAACACACAAATACACTTAATTTCCACATAAAACTATTGCCAGGCACCAACGGCCTTTCAGCGCCATTACAAACTTTTGCCTAATGAGTTTTTAATGGCGAAGCGGCATTGTCAACTCAAACCGCCAACCTGAATAAAAAAAACACTGCCACTGCCAATGGAAAAAAAAAATCATCATAAATTTATATACAAATTTATTACTATTTTTTTTATAATATTAAATTTTTTTGTTGCTTTTGTTGTGTACAATTTCTATATACTAGAATGCAGCTAAAAATATTAATCGATTTATTCGCGCCTTTATTATTATTCATATATATTTTTTATTTTATTTTTTTTTTGTCTTCTTACGTCTTGCGTTCCTTTTAAGCGTTTGTATCTTTTTTTTTCAATAATTTAATTCATGCAAACGCCACATACAAATCACTAATAATAATATTTATGTGGTAATATCTATATACGACTACATATCTATACATACATTTTGGCTGTCATTATTATTGTATTTCTTGGCGTTATTGTTATTTTGTGTACTACATACACACACACACATACAGTTCTCGTCTATACATAATTCTTATAATGTTTTTCTTTTGACACCCAAACTCCGAGGCGAGTTCCGAGCATTCAATTGTTGTCAAAAATGGTGCGTGAGTGACGGCCATGGCGTCTGCTAAATAAAAATATTGTTAGCACATTTTTATTGAAGTATCTGAAAAATATAAACATACGTATCTAGTCATAAAAAAAGACTTAATTCAATATTATAAAATGAAAAGTGAACAACACCCTCAAGTCATATATTGTGTATTGTATTAAAGCAGCTGAAATATGCACTGGTCGTATTCATTGAGTGAAGAATTGAAAGTATACTGACCACAATTAGAATGGATATCTTTATACTTTTAATATATAACTGTACAAACCTTATAATTACTATCATTAAAAAAATTACTTTTAATTAAAAGAAAAAAAATTAAAAATAAATAACTAAACTGAAAGAATTCTGAATAATTAAATAGATGAAGTAATATAGATTAGATATTACACAGTTTTTTGAATATATTGCATATATGCGATATAGTCACGGGTGCAGATGGGTAGGTGCTTCTCCCGAAATACTAATCTACTGTTGTACTACAAAAAAAAATTAAATTCTATTCATCCTTTTAGACTACCACTAAATTTGAACTTATATAGTCACAGTTTGGATAAGAGCCACAGCTAAAGGAATGAATTATAAATCTCAGGCTAAATAAATATAACTGTTTCCGTCATGTTAATATATTATATATATAGTATAGTATAGGATATATATTTTTAACGTAATTATGGTATACTTTCTATATTTTAAAACTAGTATATAAAATGTTGTAATGGATTGACTTTCATGACTTGAATCAAAACAGGATCTCTATTACTGATGGAAGTTTTTTTTAATTCTTTGTTTAAGACTTCACAATTAAGATCTGGAGTTCTACACTGATTAACACTATATCAGAATATAATTTGGACAAATATATAATTTTATTTTATATATGTTATGTCAAGTATAATGTATATCAATCATATTTTTAACTTTTCATCATTTCCTTAGTATTGATTGATCTATAATTTTTTTTATCTAATTTTCAATAAGCGCCAACATGTTGGGTAGTCTTCTCTTTTTTGAGTCTAGTTGTTGTTGTAGACTCTATTTGAGTTATAATAAGTAGTCCTCTGAGAGTTATCATTCTTACTTCTTCATTGATACGTTGTAGTTTTTATCTGACTTTCAGTCCTGTACTCCTTTTGGAGTCGTCATCTCCATTTTTTGGTTAGTTTTTAGTTGTAGTTCTACATGTTGTTGGTTAGTTTTTCGTTGTAGTTCTAAATGTTGTTGGTTAGTTTTAAGTTGTAGTTCTACATGTTGTAGGTTTTATCTGAACTTCAGAAAGCCTCCTTTTTGGCCTCCTTTCATGTTTTTTGATTAACCTTAATAACAAGGTTTCTCATAGGCACTTGTTTTAGAATCGTTTCATTAATATATTATCACTCTTCTTTTAACTGGTTGTCACTCTTTTTGCAGATTTTTTTAAATCGTTTTCTAATTTTTTTTGAAACGACATCGAATTTTTTTTTGTTATATTGAGTGAAGTTCTACCAAAAAAAAGTGCTTATATACCAAAAATTCCGTCTTGTTCTCTTAACTTATTAATCTAACTAATCCTAATCTTAATTAATTCTAATCATAGTCCAACAACAAATAAGAATTCATTTTTACTATTACTACTACTTCTACTACCCGCTTTACAATTGCTACTACTATTACTACTACTATTTCTATTATGACTAGTTAAGTACTTTTGACACTTAAATAATAAATACAATACTTTAAATTACAATAACAGCGGGTATTGTATAACGTTCAATTATTTTAGAAAGAAGAAGAGAAAAATTTTATTCCTGTAGTATATAGATCTATTAATATACTATTCATTCATAGTCTGTTATAAGCGTCCTATATAATTTATTGCAGTATTAGTAGTAGTAGAGTAGTATATAGTTTCATTTTACTTCATTTTAAATATTTTCCATGGAAATTTATGACAATTATATTATATATATAAATCATACAGCTATAATATTTTCGTCATCTGCCGGGTTATTGTATAACCCAATTAAAATATTTAGAAATCATTCCAGTACTACTGATGATGGGTATTTAGCAATACTCGGAACAGTTTTATGGTCAGCCAAACATTCAATTGATTAAAAATAAAGAAATAAAAAAAATTTTTGTTGGTGCTATTTCTGTGCTGTTCGATTAAAACCTCTCTATTGAAAACATGCTGACTATCGTTTAAGATTAAGAATTTAATTTCTTTCGTCAAAATGGACATTAAAAATCAATTTGATATACAATTAGGTTAATGGATCTGTAAAGTTATGACATCATTAGTTCACTTCCGCCGTAGTTAGATATATGATTTTATACAAACATATGACTATAAAAAGATATTGCCAAGATTACTCAAAAGATTTTCTTTTTACCTAAGTATCAACCAACTACGTGTTTATTTCAATTGAAAATTCCTGCCCAGAAAATGAGCAATCAATTACACACACTTTCAACTCAAATCCATTTAATTCCGGACAACTTGAAGAATCTAAGTAGTACCACCACAACCAATTAACTTAAGTCACTTGCAGGACTTAATAAGCAAAACGAAACCCGTAGTAATCAAATTGAGTTTTAAAGTAAAACTATGTCGTACGTGAGTGCAGTAATTTAAGTTTATTATTTATTTTTACTTAAAAAGCTGATTTAATGCCACTAATTGACTTAGCAACTTAATCTGTTGCCTTAATCAAACTTAAACATCATCAATAATAACAACGAAATTTTTTGACATTTCTTTACGCTTTCAATCAAATCACAAAAAGTACAAATGGAAGCCCAAGCAGCAGAAGAAGAAGAACAAACAGTCAAATGACACATGAAAGACTAATGAATTTTAAAATACCCCCTTCGGTATGGAAGAGAAAATCCATATATACGTATGAATATGATGTGTTTGGAAGTACATATGCATATATATACATACATACATACATACATATGTATCGTAAGTGAATTTTACATATGAGCAGCCAGTCTGTCTGTCAAATTTGGTCCATCAAAACGGTTTATGCCAAGGCAGCAATAAAAGAGCAGCAGCAGCATCAGCCACCGCAGTAAAAGTTAAGAAAATAATAAATGAAAAAAAATAAAATAAAAGTCAAATAATCAACGAAAAATAAAAAAATAAATAAAATTTTAATAAAATATCGCACAATTGATTGTGAATGATTTGAAAGATCATTTTTCGTAAGATTTTGAATGAATGCGCATGAATGAATTACAAAATACGAATATTTTGCATTTTTTATGTGAAGGTAGCTTAGGTTTTATTTCCCCAACATTTATTTCACTTTAAAAATGAATTAAACATAAACGTAAATTGTTTTATTATTTATTTTTATTTTTCATTTTTTATTATTTTTAAAGTGGCTGATTGATCACTTAAAGCCCGAACAATCCGCGCCGCGCAACATGCAAAGTTGACAAGCCTGCGAATTTAAGCGCGAATCAAATTTTTGACATTTTAAAGAGAATTCGGGAATCAGGGGGGACTTCAGTTGTATTGATACATTTTTCTACATAAATATGTGGTAGGGAAATGAAAATTACAATTTTGGGTTTTTCAGGTGTTTTCTGGTATTGGGTGTTGTTAGTGGGTGCAACTGGAGGAGTGTATTTAACAGCAATCAAGCATATCAGTTTTTGACTGTGGAAGCAGGAAAAGTTAACAAGTTAAAAATTTGAGAAATTTGATGATATTTTTGATTTAAATTTAATTAAGTTATATTCTTTTCATTTCTATTTTCAAGTGAATATTTAAGTAAAGAGTTGACTATATCTTTACTAGATTTATCATTTTAAAAAATTTATCACTTTAAATGATTTTTATTAAATTTGCACAGATTTGTTGTGATATAGAAGTCTTAATAATGACTATAACATATATCTTTGCTAGATTTCATTTCAATAAATTATCACTTAAAATATCTTTATTGAATTTGACCAGATTCGTTGCTATATAGAAGTCTCAATAATGACAATATATCTTTGCTAGATTTATCATTTCAATAAATTATCAGTTAAAATGATCTTTATTAAATTTGATCAGATTCGTTGCGATATAGAAGTCTCAATAATGACTATATATCTTTGCTAGATTTATCATTTCAATAAATTATCAGTTAAAATGATCTTTATTAAATTTGACCAGATTCGTTGCGATATAGAAGTCTCAATAATGACTAATTTGCTATTTACTTTTTATTTATTAAAAATTAATAGAATACTATATTATAATATAA